ATCCGTTGGCTGGTGCCTATAAAGATCTGTTTTGTTCAGAGGCAGGTAAAATTGCATATAGTGTCTGGGAGCAAGTGTGGGGAGGGAATTCCTTCAGAACTCACATGGTTCATCATCTTTACTGCTTGGAGGCACATGGGTTGATTATGCATGTCATCTTGATTTTTTGCAAAACAGTGGTTGTGTTTGAAGTACTATGTTTGACTCTGAAGATAATATATTTGGTATTTAAGAATCTGGCAAGAGAAAGCTATGTCCCCATATGCATGCACAGAAATGAGATTGGGATGTAGGCATGCGTAACTGTTATTTTCCCCCGTCTGTCCTATCCCTAGAAAGCCATATGCCACCCCTAGGCTAGCATAATGGGAGTCTGTATTAATGATTATGAGCTAGAAATAATCCAGGAAGAGTTGAGTGGCCTTCGAATCTAGCTTTATAAGAAAATACCTTATTGACTCAGTAGGGTCTGAAATATGTTCTGGGATAGAAAATCGTAATTAACACAGAATTTCATGATGCTCTCTCTTGAGATTATTTTTTTTTTGACTAAATTGGTCAGGGACTTGGAGATTCTTATGTCTGACAGGCAGAGTAGGAATTTAAACAAGGAGGTAAAAATTTAGAGGGAGTTGTTGACTCACCTGCTATCAGAAATAAGTATCCTGAGCATACATCTCTAGAGAGCTTATACTCTGCGAGGTTTCTATAGACATGGAATGCTTTGTCTCTTGGCAGTCTACAAAATGAAAACTCTGTATATATATATAGAAGTAGTGATGGAAGGAGGAAAATGTCGGAATGGGCTGAAGTATTAAAGCAGGCAATGAAAGCAGATAGTTTACTTTTGATTTTATAAAATAGGTTTCTCTTGTTTTAAATGAGAACTATCAACTGCCAGCATTGCAAACCTATTTGCAGCAATGCCATAAATATTAGAAGTGCAGTTGTCTCTGAATCATAAAAGGGCAGAGGGCTTTTCTGCTGCTTCCCATCTTCATGTTTACAGAATTTTGTATGCTCTGTATACATTAGAGTTGAGCAATTTCATCACAGCCTTTCCTCAAAATTGATTGTTGTTCAGTGTCTCTTCCTGCTTCCTCTCCCTTGTCAGTTGGCTACATCTCTGACTCTCATTACACTTAGTATTGATACTGCTTCAATTTTCCACTGAACTGGAAGTGTTTAAGGGTCTGGAGTGGATACTGAATGTCTAGATATATTTTTTTAAATGCTTTATTTCCTATCGTCGTGGAAAAATTTAGAGCTGGATTATTGCCTTAAGAAATGACTCTTTGCTCATTCAGCGATGACGTCTGGTCATCAAGATGTTAGAATATGTGCTGCAGATCTCTTCAGATACTGACATGAGTGCAAAAGTTGTTGCCAGCAGCTGTCTTGGGTTTTGGGCACCTGCTGCCTCTCATTTCTCGCATCTCCCACTCTATCTTCCACTCCCGAAGTTGGCAGTGCCCCTAAAAATACTCTGTGTTGAGTTCTTAAGTAGGAGATCTCTACCAAGCTGGTAGTGTGGATTCCTGAGTCACTGGTCATGCTGTAGTGAAATTAGTTATATGACAGAGTTACTGGCTATGGCAAGGTAATGGACATCAAGGGTGAAGCTGGTTCCAGCCAGGTTACAAAGGCATCAACTGCCCTTCCTAAGGCTGCTGCTTTATCATGCTGATCCCCCCCTGCCCCCAGTTGCAGAACTGTTTTGATTGCTTACTGCCATTTTTGTGTTTGTCTAGACCGTGACAGACATGACTGATGTGCCTGTTATGGCAGTCATGTATGGGTGATGTGGTGTAAGGGTTTGGGAAAAGATGCTGGAAGTAGTCTGTATGTGTGAAATACTAATTTGGCGCTGTATTCATGATTTCATTGGAAGTTGGACTGTTGATACGTATGTGGGAAAGTAACCCCTGCTTGAAGAATTGGTGCTCAAATGTGAAGTTCTTGGAAGCACAGATGCATTACAGGAGATAATTCCCATATCTAACCAGAGTCTTCTCCGAGTGGACCGTATCTTTTTCCCCATATAAATACCTAGGACAAGGGTTGCTGGTTTGGCCTGAGATCCTGTTTTAATAACCTTTTGTCTCTGGTATAGTCAAGTATCGTAGAATAGTTTGGGTTGGAAGGAACGTTTACAGGTCATTTTTATGGCCCTGCTCTGGACCTGCTCTAACAGGTCCATGTCCTTCCTGTGCTGAGGCCTCCAGAGCTGGGTGCAGTAGTCCAGGTGGGTCTCACCAGAGCAGAGTAAAGGGGCAGAATCACCTCCCTTGACCTGCTGGCCGCCCTTCTTTTGATGCAGCCCAGGGTATGGTTGGCTTTCTGGACTGTGAGTGCACATTGTTGCCTTGTGTTGAGCTTTTTATCCACCAGTATACCCAAGTCCTTCTCTGCAGGGTTGCACTCAGTCCCTTCATCTCCCAGCCCGTATTGATGTGGGGGTTGTCCTGACCCCAGTGCGGGACCCTGCACTTGGCCTTGTTGAACCTCGTGAGGTTCACACTGGCCCACTTTATGAGCCTGTCCAGATCCCTTGGGATGGCATCCTGTCCCTTAGGCGTGTCAACCGCACCACTCAGCTTGGGGTCATCTGCAAACTGGGTCCACTGGATCCCACTGTCAAGAAGGAATATCTTGGTTTGGTTTTGACCCCAAATGATTAAGTCCAGGATTTATTCAGCTTCTTGTGATTGCTGTCCAGTGAGCTATCTGGAAGAGAAATTAACCCTTGTTTTAGCAGGAGAGTACTGCAGTATTGACCAAGGGTGCTATAAGATGGCAGGGATCATAAAGCTCACAAACCCCCAGCTGGATGTGAAACTCACTCAGTTAGAAAGCAGATATTGCTCATTTCTTAAACAGTTTACTTAAGCTTTGAAAATATTAGTGGATGTGCTGTGTCTTTTCTTGTCAGTCAGTGTTGGTAAATGCAGCTCTACTAAGAAATCTTGGCACAAGCTTACGAGGTAAAAAAACTTAAACCAGTAGCCCTCCTGAGTTTTCATTTTGGTATTATTATATTATTATATTTTATTTAGTCAGTGCTTCGCTCCAAATGTAGTTATTTTTTTCCCAATGCAGCAATACGTCCTACTGCATCTACACTTGTTTTAATTTTCCTGTTTCCATTCAGTGGAGTGTATCTGTCTACTCTTAGAGTAATAATTTCCCCCCCCTCCTGAAAGGTGACAAAATTAAAGCCTTTGGCAGCACCTGCAGAATAGATGCCCTGTGCTTAGTGACAATTTTATCTTTCTTAAAACTGTAATTCTGCTACTGTGCATTGTATCTTATAGGGGTATAAGAGGGACCACCTCTCAGGGATAGGGCTGCTTCCTTCCCCTTGCTCTCTTCTCAGCAACGGTCTGGTGCTGCTGAGTTAGTACCTCGTGTTCATTTTGTCATGCAAGTGTTTGTCCACCAGGAATGTGGTGGTTAATGGCTTAGGCTCCCCAGGGATGACAGGTGTAAATCCAGTAAAGAGCTATTGGTGTGCATGACCTACCTGCTGAAATAATAACATGCACCATAAAGAGCCCTGCATTCCCCCTGTCCATCTGCTGAGGATGGACGGCCTTGCAATTGCTAAAATGAAAAAACAAAACTAAGCACATCTGTCCTGATTGTGAAAAATCAGCAGGAAGAAAAATGTTATTCAAGTCAGGCTTTTGTCAAGATCCATCAGCGATTGCCGGTGAACACCTGTTGTGTGTTGGCTTGTTCGGCCAAGGACTTGGTGCTGCGATATAAAACCTGTCTGCAGAAAGGGGGGGAATTGGCTTCTCCCAGTTGAACAGTAGATGCTCGGTTCCAGCCCTCTCAGCTGTTGCAAAGGATGAGGATGGACGACACATGCAGCTGGTGACACTTCATCCCTCAGTTACCTGAAGTAGCCGCTCGGTGCCATTAAAATGATGGCCGATCCCATAAACATATTGCACTCCACCGTCTGCTCCCTCTGGCACTGAACTATGACCAAGAGGAAAGTTCCTCCTGCCCTGTCAACTCCCCTCAAATAAATAATCATCATAAAAAAGGCCAGCCTTTCCGAAGTTCCCACTTAAGCAAACGTGCTGCTGATTGAGCGTAGCCCTGAGAGGCAGGGAAGGCTTGCAGCCCTTGACAACAAATGAGAGCTGTGGCTGCCTCGTAAACGCCTTGGCTTCAGGAGGAGGTGGTTATGGGCATGAAATGTTTATCATCTTGTACTTGCTTTGCTGCTGCTGGCTGACTGTGTAAGTAAAAAGTAGCATTAAGTAAATAAGAAGCGATGCTGCAGCCCGCTTGTCTTCAGACTTAAATAGGCTTCCTGGCAAAAGAAGGAGCAGGTGAAGGCAGCTTGGATTTGGCAGAGGTTTGGACTGTGCACAAAAGGGGTGTGTGTTTGCCTGTGAGGGGGGATCTGGTTAGAAATCTGATCAGTCAACTGGCTTTCTATTAGGTAGCACTCTTTGAAATGGTCCGGTAAAGAAGATGACTTGACTTGCTATGTAGGTCAGCTTGTGCATTCAAAAATGCCCCTGCCAAGGGTTGCTTGTTCTTTGCAGGTGATTTGGAAACAGCAGAGTTGTTGGCCACCTCCTTTTGAGCATGGCCAGCATTGCCACGTTCACTGGTGCGTGGTTTGGGTGTCTCCATCTCTGACATTGCGCAGCATCTTGCATGACTCCCTGAAATTGGCTGCTTCGCAACTGTCTTCCCTTAGTTCCTACCCTAAAGGGCAATCCTGCAGCAGTCTTCGCTGGCTTTGCTTTGTTTTTATTTTTTGGGGGGTGCATGTGCTTTTGTTTTGCTTTAATAGCACAGTTCCCAATAGGGGACAGCACTGCACTGTTTAAGATGCTTGTCATTTTTAAGGAACTTTTCTAAACTTGTCATCCTAAAAGCTATATTGTGCAGCAGCAGGCGGCCTCCATAAATCACTGATTTCTCTTTTTCTTCTCTTTCCCTTCCTTTCTCTCTTGCACTCTCTTTATTCCAAGCCTGCGGATTTGGACGCCTGGGTAAGCTCTCTTTTTTTTGTCTGGATCTTGCTTATTCCAAGTGTCATGTTGTTACTGCGCGCATACAGATTGTTATTGCTGAGCACAGATGCAGGATTTTATTTTCTGTCATTACATTTTAAAAGGTGTTCAGCTAGAAAATTGCATATTATTTCCTCCATAAAGATTTTCACTGGTTCCTTTTGTGTAGCTTACAGCTGCTGAAACCAAACTTGATCTGGCGGTGTGTGTTGTTGGCTAAGGGAGTAGCAAAAACAGGAGGAAATGAAGGTTACACCAGTGCTGCTTTTTGAGGCCACAAGTCTGCATCTGGGCTCTAAAACAAAACAAACCCCAGTCACCTGCCTTCAACAGAATGAGAGAAAGGACAAAAAGCAAGTGATTTTGTAGGCCTCACGTGTCTGCGATGGCGAGTGCAGGTGACTCCACAGTAGTGGTGATGTTTCTGCTGATGCAAGTGGAGGCTGAGTCAGGGCTCCCCCGTGGTTCCTCGTCCGGTATGAGCCTCCCCATAAAGTTCTGCTGCTTGGTCTTAGGCTTGATGTGCACGAGCTGCCTCATGCTGTTTCAGTCTTGCCCTTTCAGCTCTGCCATTCCCTTTAGGCTTGGTGAGGAACACACCAGGTAGCTAATTTTGGAGCCAGTTCTGCTCTTCAGTGCATTGCTGTCAATTCCTCCTCCTAGTCTTGGAGCCTTTAATAGCATTTGTTTTTCTCCCCTGCCACCTGGACTGCTACCAGGACTGGAAGAGACATGGGAAAGCATGAGGTATAAGACTTTGCAGTTGTGAAGTGTGGCAAGCTGAGGTACTCAGCCAAAACATCTCTGCTTGCTGCTGCAGGGATGTTACTGGGTACCTTTGGGGGAAGCTGATAACTCCTCTCAGCAAAGACAGGATGGTGTAGAAACAAGGCATTTGGTAGAGACTTAAGGACCTTTCCTTTATCCATGTAGCTGCTTTCCCTGGATTGTGTCTGACTGATTCTCTAGGCGTCATCTCACTAGTTCATCTGTGACTGGTGAATGTGTTTTGCCAAGAAGATAAATATTTTTGCAATAACCTTGCCAAGTGCTGTGACTTGCCTCTGAGGAAATTCTTTATAGTATGGACCTTTCCTTCTAGCTTGACTTGTCCTTTGCAGAGGGTGGATGGGGAGGTTCCCTCCAGAAGAATCTTCATGCCCTCTCCCCAAATCCCAGAATCCCAACAGTATTGTGGAGAGCGACAGCCTGATGGTACCCATCAGCTGTGGCCTGTGCTATTGCTGAACTTTATTCCTGGGTGCCACATTCCCTACTGTAATCTGACCCTGCCAAGAAGCCCTTTTTTTTCCAAGCAGATTTCCTTCCTGGTTTTCATGTTTAACAAGGTGATGAGAAGGGACTGTGATTAAAAATAATAAAAATCTGGAGATATTTCAGGAAGAGGGGGGCAAAGCCAAAGCTAATTGTGAATGGCTGTTGCTAGAGTGAAGCCCAGCTCTGGAAGATCAGTTGCACAGTCTGATGTGTTGCTTGTTGGTGTCAGTCCAGGATGAGGCCAAGAGTGTCTGGCTTTGTTCATAGAGAATGAACCAATAATATTTCATTACCTCAATTAAGAGGCTTGTAAAATATTTCTGTTGGCCTGCCTGTCAGCTGTCAGGCTGGTACTTGAATTCTTCAGTTGAGCTGGTGTGTAATGCAAAGCTTTAGAAATGTGCTTCCAGAGTTTGTTATGGGTTAAAGGGAGAGAAGGAGTCTGGACTTGCAGGTGACTCTACCCTGGCTCTTTGTCACTGTTCAAAGCAGCACTAAGATAACCTGAAAAGCTTTGGGTTGTGGAAAAAGTGCAAAGATAAAACCTAGGAAGAATTTAAAAGAGCTCCCTGCCACTCCATGACCGTGGAAGCTGTAATAGCATCCTAGTAGTATACCTTCCCTGTCCTTCTGTAAGAATGCAATGCTTCTAACCTCTGACCCATCATAGGGAATTCTTGAGCATCTTCTGAATATATCTAATACCTAGTTTTTGTACAGAGGGCAGTTGCATATTGCATACATTCTCTTTTGCAGATACGTGCTGTCCTGTGCTACTTTTCTAAGTTTTAGATGCATCCATGTGTTCTACAACTAACTACACTCTTCCTCCCCTCCTGTTTTTTGTGGGGTTTTTTTTCCTGATTTCATACTTCTTGTATACCACACTCTCTGCTGTGTTCTGCACAACAGCTTTTTAGATGTTGTCTCTGGGCTTTGGTCATCTCTTGCATGATGTGTTCAAGCTCAGATGTAGCTTCTGCAGCGTGGATGTGAAATGCAACTATCTGATACACGATTTTCAAACCAGTGTGTTATCATGCATGTCTTCCCTTCTCCTTCCTTCTTTAGTTCTAACAGCCGTTTTGTGAAAAGTGTATCTGATGCTTTGTTTGGCACCTGCAATCCCAATCCCCTGTGAGATTGTAATCATCTCTATAGCAGCCAGTTCTGTCTGGGACATCACAGGCTTCTGCCTTCAGGTGGGAAATAAGCAGCAGGGCTAGAGGATCTCTTAATAAATATCCTGTATTCATACAAAATGTCCCTTGTTGCCTAACCCAGTTTGGAACAGTGAGTATTTCAAATGACACATGCTCTGACTGTACCATTCATACTTCAAACATCATCATAAAGTGTACTAAAGTTTCTAGTAATAACAGCTGGGGATAGAGGGAAACAGAAAGCAACTTTCAAGCAGATCTGTCAAAAATAGAATGTTTCTCAGTATACTTCAATGCGCTGAAACATCAGCAGCTCTTGAAAACAAGCAAGGCATTGAAAATATGTTTGACTTGCAAGTAGAAATTTTCTCTCCAACCTGTGTTTTGTCATACAGCTTACAGGCGATAAGTGGGACAGAATGGGAGAAAAGATGGGAGAAATTACTTACGGGGAAGAATTGGGAGTACACTGAGGTCATAATAGGCAGTCAGGAGATCCAGTTCTGATTCTTCGAGATCAACTTTGCAAGACCCTAGGGAAGTCACTAACAGAATGTGTATCTGCTGCAGGGTGCGTTGATGTGGAGGCATTATTCACTATGGGTACCCCAGCTCCAGTCTGGTCTGCTTGGGAGTCAATGGGTCATCATCATGCAGATCAGACCCCTCTCATGTGTCTGATCTCAGCACCCCACTTGAGAGATTAGGTATTTGGTTTGTGTTCCCTTCCAGAGATGTCACATCCATGTCTTGTCAGAAACAGAATAAAGCTTCTTGCCCACCAGTATTGTTACATGTATTGGTTTTGTGCTCCCAGAATAGACTGCTACCTCAGGAGACTAGCACTGCCATGTAATTAATTTATTTAGATTAAGCAGAGACTTTCTTGCATTTTTAAGAGTTGATCTTTTGAGTCTTTTTTCTTTTTTTCTTGAAATACACTTGACATTAAAATCACCTTCCATCTGAATTGTATAGAGGGGTCAGTACTATGTTACTCTTCTTTCTTTTCCTTATTTATTTTCTCCTTAAGGAGATACCAATCACTTGTTTAGTAATCTGATTTTGTGGGTGTTATGCAGAAAATCAGCAGGAGAATCAGGCTCCTTTGGTCACCCACCAGGCCACCCTGTTTTCTTACATCTGTTTCATTTCAGTTGAAATTGCTTAGTCCTTTTCTGTATAGAAATGGATTTTGGTGCAGAAGGATTGCTTTGGTTCTCTTATCACAGAAATACTAATAATTTTGGCACTTACAAAGTGCCCATCAGTGCCCATTGTTGGTGTGATATCTTTTTGGTCAGGCTGCATGTATGGGGCAGCTGATTCTCATCCCTTTTCCCATCCTATTTCAGCTGGTTTGTGAGCTGGAAGATACGTAGCAGCTCTGGTTAAACCAAAGTCAGAGATTTTCCCTTTAATCAAGTGCCTTAGAGAGCAAGGGGGTTTAGATGTGAGTCTATAGTGCTTGTGCCTTATTCTGGCCCTGTTGGCTGGATGACAAGCATGGGAACCAAAATATTTCTTTTTCCTTTTAAAAACAAACAGACACCACCGCACTCTGGCAACCCCCCTATTTCATGTGCTCCGACTTCTTTTCTTGCTTGCTTATCAACTGTCCCTCACTGCCTAGCTTAAAATCTCTTCTAAGCCCTATTATACCGCTGTACTTCCATCAGCAGGGGAGCAGAAAGAAAGAAATACACAGCAACTGGCTTTCAGATGTAATTTTTCTCATTAACAATGGCTGCTGGCTGTAAAATGACAGGTCTGAGCCCACGAGGATGTTTGTCCCAGCTGCTTAATCATATTGGACCAGCATTTTCTGTGATTGTACCATCATCATTAAAAGTGAAGAGCAATGCTGCTGGGATGCTATAGATTGGCAGGGTTTGTGTTCATGTTAAATGGACTAATAATTCTAGTTTTGAAAGGTCTTCTTGCCTGGTGATAACTTATGTGGCCCCAGAGATTTTGGGATGGGATGGGGGAAGAAAAACAAGTGCCATTCTTCTTGCTATTGTTGCTTGTTATTTTTAAGCTTAAGAAGTTTGGTTCGGGTCCATCAATGCCATGTTTGCTTAATGCTGGTTCAGTGTAGGAGTGGGAATGCAATCAAGCACTGCTGGTTGGAAAGAGCTAAAAGGCAAAAGCTGTTGCTGTAACCACACAATTGATCATTTAGTTGATGACCAGGTTATGCTTAAGCACGTGCTTGTATACCAAGCTTGATGTTTTTGGAAGTGTCACATTTATACTTTGGATGATGGAAGGAAAATTCTCTGACACCCATCTCCCCTCCAGATCTGCAGCGCCCAACCAGAGGAACTTTGGGGTGCTGGTGGTGTACACACAGAGTACATGTGGAGAGAGTACTTAATTATCAGGGTAGCCCTGCTACGTATGTGTGTAAAAGCAAATGTGTGGTCAGTGAAAATCTGTGTTGCTATGAAAGTGTTATAACATATACGCTTTATTTTGGATCTTCCTCGTGAGCGTAGGGGTCTGTTAAATCTACAGAAGTTTCTGACACTCCAAGGGGCAAGTGTTTATGAAGTGGAGGTTTTGAAGTTAATTTTTAAGGTAAGGTGAAGAACATTGAAGTGGTACTCCACATCATGATTTGTGGAAGACAAAGACTTGGATAAGTTCTGAAAAAGGCAGTAGGAAGGTGTCACCTTTCTATGATTATATGTTTTCATTTAATAAGGAGAAATAAAATCAAGGCTATGAGTTTGAGTATGATTCTAATAAGATTGTTTCAAACATTTGGGGATAATCCAAAATGAACTGCAATACAAAGGTTTGTAGTTCCACCAAGAGGGATCCCATACACCAGTCTTGAGCAGTGATATTTTTTTTTTTTTTTAGTTCCTTCCAGTCTGCATCCCATGTGCTTTCCTTACACTCACACCTTTTATTTTTAATTTTTTCTTCTACTGATGCTCTTTTGTTCTTCTTCCCAGGCTGTTGAGCTGGAAGGCAGGGAGGCAGAGCTGAAGCAGCAAGAAGCCTTCTACAAAGAGCAGTTGGCCCGCATTGAGAGGAAGGTGAGGCTAAAAGTTGTCTTTTATTTGTGGCCTCTGAATACTAATGGGATTGGATGCAGGTCGGTGTGGATCCAGGGAGCAGAGAAACAAGCCTCATTGTGCTGAAACCTGGAACTGTCTGCCCCCCACCCATTACATAGTTAAGGGATGAAAAAGCTGTGCAAACCAAATCTTTTTAACAACTTGCGTTGGAAAGGTAAGGTGGGGTTTAACTGGATGATTTTTGTAATAAAGTAATTCAAACTTTATTTTCTTTTTCACCATGGGGTTGAGGTGAAAGCTAAGTTCAAAAAAGCAAATGCCCTTTTTTTTTTTATTCCTTTTGTTAAAAATCCTTTCATAAATTAAAAAAAAAAAAAAAGACCCAAACATAAATCTTTGTTATAAATATGAATTAAAGTTGTATTATTAATTTTTCTCTGGGGAGCCCAACAGTTCAAAGGAGGGTGCTGCACTGCACTGCCTGCTTCTTCCTGGATAAGCCTTTGAAATGAACATGATTTAAAGAGACACCGTCAAGCATCTTTTAAGCCTGAAATGACCTTTGAAAATCCATTTAGGGATTTGAATCTCTCCCCTAAACGTGGGATTTGCTTCTTTGTTTAATTGTTTACCATGATGAGTTTTTAAAAATTGATGCCATAAAAATAGGAGCAGCCATGCTGTTCCTTATGAACTAATGCGTTTTTCACTTCCTGGCAAAATGAAATAATGTTATAAGTAGTCTTTATTTTTTAATAAATGTGGAGAATAATCTTCTCCAATTTGAAGCAATTAGGCCTCCTGACAGGGAGTTGCATACATCTGACTCGTAGTTGTGCGATGTGACTAAAAAGAAATGCAAACAATGAACAAGGTAGGTTGTAAAGAGACAGAGAAATCAATCAGTTTTACTCCCAACATGTAGCATGATGGTGAATATGGAACATGGGAAAATTACAGATTATAAAAATGGTAAAAAAACTGTCGGCACATCTATTCCCCTCCTCATTCCCTGCTACTGCATGATTGTCCATACAGCTTTTTTTTTTTTTTTTTAAGCCTTTGATGGTAAAACATGCCCATGAGCAATTTCATATGATACAATTTTGCAACATTTTAATCCCCACAGTTCATTAAAAAATAAACTATTAAAACTACCACTCAGTGTTGCATTCAGATTTTGAAATTCTATTTCTAGATAATGGGGATTGTTCAGTGAAATTGCAAACAATCTAGCAGCTATCGTTCTAATTATCACAGTTGTCCATATGTTCATACGCAAAGGGAATTTTTGCAATTTCTTGGTCTCACGCTGTGTGCTTCTATTATATTCTTCTCTCCGGATCTGGTTTCATGAAGCGGAAACTGCAGAGAAAATTTGTATGTGTGTCTGTCCTTTGTGGACACAGGAGTGGGGAGAAGTTTGTGTCCAGCCTGCATTGTACTGTTTTTGAAGTCTTTTGTTGTATTTCGTGTTTTCCTTTTCAGGTCCATGTCCCTTGCTGCAGGGTAACTTTTTAAACAAGGTGATGGATATTTTAGTGCAGGGTTTTCTCAGGGGAGTAAGGTGTCTTGCCCATAGTCCTATTCAAACTGCAGAGCTGCATAGAAACTGTCTTCTGGTTCTTACGTGTACAAAAGCAAGTAGATAAAAAGGAACAGGTTTTCTTTCCTCTCTTAAAACACTAGATAGTTTCTGACCCTTAAACACTAGCATTTTGCTGGTAATAAAATAGAAGGATGCCTCCAACCATTAGTCTGTATTGGAGTGGGAGGTGGTGGGGGCTAGAAAGGAGAGGAGAGAAATGTACTTGAAACAGTGTAATAAAGCTTAATTGTATTAGTTTTGAAAAAGGTTTTCTATCTTCTCTGTGGATAATTTTATTCCTATAATGGTTGGAAAGATGGAAAACACAGCACAGAACAATCTTTTTTATTAGCTGTTGCTTTTATATAATTCTGCTTTTATTTGTTGAATACACGCAGACCTTGACATTTATTTATTTATTTTCCCTTCTACTCTACTAAAACCTTCCAACTCAGCCTTAGATATATTTTTATACATCTGTGTATGTACATGTGTGTTTATATTAGAAAAAAAAGCTACTGGTAAGAGGATCAGGTGCGGAGGAGCTCTGAAATAGAAGTTTGCTTTCTCTGCTGTTTTCAGAGGGGATGGTCACTTGCATGGTCACTGGTGATTTGGAGGTGTTGGGCTGGGAGTGAAGGAATGTGATGGCTCAGTGTGGAGTTAGAAAGCTGAAATTTCTCCTTCTAAGGATCAGACTGTCAGGAATTCTCCCCTCTCTTCTCCATGCTGTGCCTATCTATAACCTCAGCTTGGCTTTGTTCCCACTTCTGCATGATAAGAGAATTCAGCAGTAGGAGACTTAGAGATTTGTTTTTCAAGGATGTTTTGAACTGTTGATGTTGAGAACTATACCTTCCTGGTAGGATGCTAAGAATAATTTTATTATATGCTCCCTACAATGTAGTAGCTGCTGCACTGAATCAAACATGGAGACTGTCCTGGTTCTTCTGACAGTGGTCAGTTTTCAAAAACTTCAAAGGAAGATGCAAAAAAAACCCTCACCAAACCAAAAAACCCCTTTTGGAGAACAACTTTGAGAAGAATCTTCCCAAGTGTTGTCAGTTGGAGGCTGAGACGTGCCCTACTGCAAAAGTGTTTATTTTCATTCAGTATTTTTATTCACTATAATGGAACTTGGATTCCTGCCATCATTCTTATATGTGTCTCAGGCATTTTTCCTGAAGCCTTGTTTAGCTCTTTGCTTCCAATACCATGTGGCAGTATGTGCCACATATTAACTTGTATACTCTATAAATTCCCTGTTACCAGTTTCAAATACTTTTTTCATTTAATATCTTTTATGTGAAAGAGATAGAAGGAATTCTTTTCATTATTCATTATCTGTAGTCTTCTGTTCCCTCTTTTATCTGCCCATTAAGCTGAGTAGTCCTCACCTTTTCAGCCTCTGCTTGTGTGATATTTTTTTTTCTAGTTTTCTTGTTTTACTTGTTTGTCTTTGGGGCCTTTCCCCCTCGTGGCTCTGTCTTTGAGATGTATTGGCCAGAATTGAACTCAGTAGTTCCCTTGAATGCAGCAGATTGTGTGAATAACATTATCTTTTTATTTTGTAATCTCTGAAAGAGTACTGTAATCTACTGGACAGAGCACAGAATTGGAAGCAAAAAACTGCTCATTTTCTAATAGCTGTTTCTCTTTTGGGAGTTTGAAACAATTACTTAGTCCATCTATCTCAGTTATTCCATCTATATGATGGAATGGCTTATAAGGGGAGGGCAAAGTGTTGTGGAATAGTAAAGCTATAGAAATGCTAAAAAGGCTTTGCCTTTAGTTTTGCATGAGATGAACTACGGGTGTACCTTATTTCAAATAGATCTCGAGAAACTCAGTTTCTCTAGACAGTCTTATTAAAATTTTCACAGGAAAGGGCATGTTTGAAAAAATAATTTCAGTGTTTCAGCTCTTGGGGTTTTCCTACATCTTCTGCTAAAGCACTGGAAGAGGTGAGGTGGTGAGTGCAGCAGCACTGTGTCACAGTCAGGACCAGCACAGTGTGACCAATGATAAACATAAGATCAGGGCAAGTATATGGGATACTCGTCCCAAATTCTTCCTGGCATGGTCATCTCTGAAACTTTTCTATGTGTATTTAATCCTCTCTGAGAGGTGAGAGTCAGAACAGTGCACACAGGGCTCGAGGTGCGGGTGGACCATGAGTATATCTGGCAGCTGTATGAGAATCACTGCTTGGTTCTCTGTTTCTTTGTAGTGCCTAGCGCTTGATTTGCACTTTTGACTTGTGTTGAGCAAACGCCAGGCACTGCTGCTCCTGGCAGCGTTCAGCTATTGGGAGTGTGGCTTTGAGTGCATGAAGCAGCTGTACTGGGATTAAACCAATGCTGCCATTTGTTGTTGGGAGGTTTTCTTCCCACTGCACCTTCCATTATCAGTTTGTCAGGGGTTGTGTGTGTCAAGGGGTGGTACATTTTGTTCTGTCTGCGGTGCGGTGCGTGCTGTTTAAACTTTTTTTTTAAAACCGAATTTTATTGAACAAATTCCTGTCAGAGGATCAGGACACTGGTGATGCCCTTTGTCTTCCTCACTTTAGCTCGGGTAATTTGTTGTAGTTTTGTGTTTCAGTCTCTGGGGTTGCTTGTATGTTTTTGTGTTGGAGTGCCTGAAGTATTTTGCTAATCAGGAAAATTACAGGGAATAGATCCTTTGAACTGACTATTTCTTATATGACTGTGTGTAATTGCAGGATTTTGGAGCTGGTGATACAGGCATTCCATTCCACACCTGTGTTTCCAGCGTGACTCTCTAATCTCCAATAAGTAATCCAGTAATGAGACCTGGCTAATTTGTTATAAGTGGCTAAACTTCTAACTGACTTGTTAGAGTAATTTTACATCTCATCCATGTAATTTGGAATTGTTTTACAAAAAGTGGGTCTTGTCTCAACTGTTTTGAAGGAGGTTTTGAACTGTGGTGTTTCTCTGGGTAAGAAGATTGAGAGTTGGACCTAATAATCTGTAAGGAAAGCCATAGAAACACTCGATTTGAGCAGCTTAAGCTGATGTTCTTTCATACATTTATATGTTACTGAGAAACAGGGAGGGAGGGAGCTTGGTACATATACTGCTCAGAACTGGGATTTTTATTAAGGGTTCTGTGTGTGCTTTGTCCTGCTTTCTCCAAATGGTAGAAACATCCTTTAATAGATATGATAAGAAAGAAATGTAGTCTCTCCTGGAACCCTTCAGATACTGGGTGATTTCACTTAGCATATTAGCTGTAAACTTTCTCCCAGGTAAATATTTATTTGACTCTTTTAGCTATTTGGCCTCTTGGTGGATTTAACCTGGCAGAGGTTAAGGGCAGTGCTACAGGATGGCAAAACACAGGCAGCTCTTTGGAGCAGCACGGAACGGCAGAGAAAGGCTGAAGGTAATCTTGGCAGACGAAGCGA